TTTTCTTTTGTTTAAAACCATTGATATTGTCTCTTAGCATAGTCGTCTTACTCGGCAGAAAATATCGTGCCAGGAAAATTTTCTTCAACTCGTTCCATGTGGTAACAGAGTTGGATGGTAGAGACTAAAGTAAAGCTCTAGCTCTATCTTGTAATGAAAAAGGGAAAAGACAATATCTTATCGCTTCGGGGCTGACACAATTTGTTTTTACTGTGTCTGTGTACTGCATAAACACGGACAAATGTAAGTTCAGATCTTCTGCAGGACATCCCGAAAACTGATTTTGTTGGACAGCTTGTAATAACGAAGGTTTTAACTCAAAATCATTATGAGCGATAGCGGAGGTAGCAACGGTGTTGTGAGGTTCCTCATGCGATGGAGCAGCATAATCCTTTAAAGGATGATTTTGGGGTCCTTTGGCCATTCTTGGTTTAGGAAGAGGTAAGTTGGGAAGATTGAATTCGGGGAGATTATACTTAATTTGGTATTCTGTAATTTGGCGTCTTATGCTAACAAAACGCTTGACCTTGTCGATTGGTTGCTCTAATTCTTCGCCTTGAGAGCGAGTATTTGACATACAATCAACGAATAAAAGAAAATAAAATTTGTTGCCTTAGTCTATACTGCGTAACAAAGGAGTCACAATATCGACTAAATCAGTCCCCAGCAACAATGCCAAAAACTTGATCGCGACTTTAAGAGTCTATCGGGTGTATTAATTGCAAGTGCACAATCTAATCGCGTAGTTTTAAAAGATATAGAACCCACAAGGACGGATAATCGAATTACTGCTATCTAAAGTCACCGTGTAAAGCTAAGCCTAATAATTAATCTTAGGTTTTAGGTTAGACGAAAATAAGCTTAGACTTAAATGAAATAATTGATAGCGGGAGACTGGTACATAATACGTCTGACTTCGGGGATTCAGTAAGTCATTGGCATAGCTTTGAGTATTCAAAACACAGCTTTAGTAGAAAATATCAGTTTAAAAACCTTTATCTCACACTCTCGTGATTCTTGATTCAGACTATATTATTAAACTTAAACGCTTGCTCTCGTCGTCTCATTTAAAATCTAAAAATACTTTTTGAAAAAAAATAGAATATAATCAATCCTAAACCCTCTCGTTGTATTTAAAACTAATGTTTGATTACCACTATCCGGTTAAAAACTCAAACTCTCGTTATCTCGAGTTTAGCCTTCGTTTGTCTTTTACTCTCGTAACAAAACAGTTTTTATATTAAATGGTGGAAACCAAACCAGAAAAGTATTTTATAAAAATGTTTGACAATTTATTATCGAACCCCTTTGGTTTATGACCTTACATACCAGTATCAGGGAAATTAGTCGGACATATTATTTATTACGAACACAAAATAATAGCAAGCATATAGTGATTCAGTCACGATTGATAAATAAAGGGACGGTAATATAATTGAATTAAAAACCTGGAATTAAATAATGGAAAATGGAATTTCTGCAATACTTCTAGTACTGAAAATAATCCTCCACAGGTCAGCAGGATTTGCTTCGCGGAAAATAAATTCGAAAACAGAAATAAAAATAAACCTAAGCAAAATTCAGGAGACTTTGAAAAGAATCTAATGATGCAATAGCTTTCCGGTGTAGAAAACTATTGTTGTTTAGGTGAGGGTTTTATCTGCTTAAAGATTCTAACCAAAACTTCTGAACTCTTGAAAAATTGGAATAATGGGGGAGAGACTCTCTGTTGTAAACTGTCATCCTTTCATAGTGCTCTCCCATAACAAATTCATTGAGAGAATGTAGGAGTCGTGACTTCATGGCCCAGTCTCAAAAGATTTCGTGCATGGAGAAAAACCAGGAGAAAATGCAGGAGTCGTGGTTGGTACGTACGTAACATGGAGAAAACTTCGTATTTAACACTGAAAAGAGCTTGTGACGAGTGGCATGCATTGTGTGCTGTGGGGCACACATAATTTTAATATGTGTCAATTGTCATACCATGTGTGTAGAGGAGCACACATATTTAGCTTGTGTCGACTGTTAGGGAGCCGTGACGACCGTCATAGCCTTATGATATGAATTTTTCAGCTACTTTCTGCAACTTTTTTATTTTCAATCCATTTCTTTTCCATTTCTTCTCCTTTTCTCAAGTAGGCCTTGTGGGAAATCATTACCCGAAACAAACTCAAAATACCAACGTAATATAACATAATCAAGACAAAACGATAACTTTACTTACGTAAATCGGGTCGAATATGTTATGTATTTTCGCGTTATCAGTTTCTCAGAATCAAGGGGAAAATGTGTAAGTTGAAGAAGGAATTATATGGTTTGAAACAAGATCCACGAGCTTGGTTTGAGAAGTTTACCAATGTGATTACATCTATTGGTTTTAGCTCTAGTGATCATGATTTTGCTTTGTTTGTCAAGACCACTTATCATGGTCGTATTTTACTCTCATTATATGTTGATGATATAATTATTATAAGTGATGATATGGATGAAATTAATGATTTGAAATTACAGTTAGCCAAACAGTTTGAGATGAAATACTTATGCACTCTTCGCTACTTCTTAGGCATTGAAGTTGCCTACTATCCTATATATTATCTTCTCTCTCAATCCAAGTATATTGCCAACATTCTTGAACAAACTCTCCTTTCTGATACTAGAGAAACAAATAGTCCTCTTGAGTTGAATATGAAATATGCTCCATCTGATGGTGTTTCCCTTCCAGATCCCACCTTATATCATACATTGGTTGGCAGCTTGGTGTACCTTACGATTACAAGACCAAATATTGCTTATGTTGTGCATGTTGTTAGTCAATTTGTTGTCTCTCCTACTACAACGTATTGGACACTTATTCTTCATATATGTCGTTATCTTCGGAGAACCCAGTTTTAGAGCCTTCTCTTTCCCTCGTTGTCCTCATTGGAACTACGTGCTTATTCTGATGCTGGTTGGACTGGCGACCCCATAAATTGTAAGTCTACTACAAAGTTTTGTGTATTTCTTATAGACTTTCTTATTTCTTTGAAGAGTAGGAAACAAGATATTATATGTCGTTCTTCTACAAAAGTTGAGTATCGTGCTATGACATCCACCACTATTGAAATAGTTTAGTTACGTTGGTTACTTTCTGATATGGGTGTCATTCTTTCTAAACCAACTCCTATGTATTGTGATAGCAAAAGTGCCACTCAAATAGCGCATAACTCGGTCTTTCATGAACATACCAAACATATTGAGATTGGTTGTCACTTCACTCTTCATCATCTTCAACATGGGATAATTACTCTATGGGTTGTCTCCTCCGCTCTATAGATTATTGATTTGTTTATGAAGACACATTTCATTAAACATTTTCGTTTTTTGATTGATAAACTCTCGATGCTCTCTGTTAATGCATCTTGAGATTGAGGGGAGATTATTATTATTATTATTATTATTATTATTATTATTATTATTATTATTATTATTATTATTATTATTATTATTATTATTGTAATGATTTATCATATCTTTGTAAGGGTAATTTTGTCTTTTCTAGCATTTAGTATTTATATTCTGGTGTAATCCTTACTCTTCTGTTTTTGTTCATTCTATTTAAACTATAAGCCAAAGAGTCTTTCTCTTTCTCTTTCTCTATGTTTCTATATGTTCATTATTGTTAACATTTATATATTTATATATTTTTAAAAATTATAAATTATTTTTCAAAAAAAAAAAACTTCAAATAATTTTTTTAAAGTAATTATTTATAAAATATTATTTTAAATATTTTATTATTTTATTATAATTTTTTTTAATATCAAAATTTTAAAAAATTATTTAAATTTGAATCTATTTCGAATAGTTTTTCATAAATGATTAGATAATTACTCCTCGAAACACTCTCTTTGTCCAACAAAATCCTCCGCCGCTACCACTATTCCTCTCCCAAAAATCCAAATTTTCTTTTCATTATGTAATTAAATTGACTGGTGGTGCGATGAGGCCTCTCCTCCACACCGCCATTTTATCTTTGGGGTGTCCGACGTAGTTTCTTCGGTGTTTTTCAATGTTTCTCCGACGTTTTTCGATAACGGTTGGTCTCATAGATTGATGCTCACTCCAGACTGATTTCTTCTGATTCTAAATTGTGATGATTTTTCTATTTCATCTGATTTATATTTCTCTAGACTGATTGTGTTGGCAGTCGAGTTCATTTATGATTCTCAAGTTTAGTGATTATCAATTCATATATAATATATTTTTTTTGCAATTTGGTTATGCGACGTAAATAGTTCATTTGATTGTACACCTGATATATGGAAGTTAGTCTCTAATTTTGATTGTTTTAATATGTTGGTTTATTGGGTCAGGCTCTATATCCCCATCTCTTGTACTGTTATTTTTTATTTTAATGAATTTCAAATTTATATAAAAAATAAATAGTTTTTCATAAAAATTATTATTGAAATAATTTTTTTTAAATTATAATTTCAACTATATTTTAATCTTTACTATACATTTATGTTATAAAATATCAAAACTAATTTTTAATTTATAAAAAGTAAATTTAAAAACATAACATTTTAATTTTTTTTAAAATATAAAAAAAAATTAACTTTTTAAAGTTAAAATTATTAATCTCTTTACGAAAATGTACTATATTTAAAAATGAAACTATGGATGTGATGAATCACCGTAATCTTATATTGCCAAATGGAGTATCTTTTCTCCACTTTTTTTTTGGTTGATATTCATTGTATATTTGACCTGGTCCTATTTCCGACCGTTAGCCAATAATCCAACGGAAACTTTTACTTTTTTTTATTCTTTTGTTTTTTATTTTTATTTTGTAATAACGGGAACTTTTACTTGATTCCATCATAAGCCTAGCTCTTAGCATAAACACTTCACCCGCTTAAGTTGCTATAAATACCATTCTACCTTCATCCACTCTTCTCACACACTTACAACAAACACTCTTTTATCCTCTTTCTACTTTGAAGAAATCTTTAAAAGAAATGTCTCTCCTCAACTTGAATTTCGCTTTAATCATTGTGGCTGCACTTTTGTTGACCACTACAATGGCTCAGTCCTCGAGAAAAGCAATCTCTCCGTCACCCTCCCTCGGAGATTCTCCTCCTGAACAATCAGCATCTTCTCCGTCGATCTCTCCTCCTGAACAATCAGCATCTTCTCCGTCGATCTCTCCTTCTTCCATCTCTGATCCACCATCTGAAGCGCCAGGACCTGCTTCCAACGCTGTCGTTTTCAATACTGTCTCTGTTGCTGCTGGATCCGCACTTATGATTTTCGTAGCTGCTTTGATTATGTAGATGCCCAATTCTTCGGTTAATCTTTTATTTTTATTTTTATTTCTATTTATTCTTTCATTTATTTTGTACTACTCTTCTTATGAATACTACATACAAATAGTGAATTTTTTATATTTTTATTTCTATCTTTTAGCTATTTGATTTTTTTTATTTGAGTATTAGATTTTCAAGCTTGCGAGCTAGTCAATCTAAACTATAATTGATTTATATGAGATGTCAAACATTCAACTTAAGGAAAAAAAAATCATTATTTTATTTTTGCAAATCAATATACACGATTCAATTCAAATTAACTTGTGTTCGGTTTGGACTTTCTTACAAAAAAAATGTACAAATTCAATGGGATATAAATTTCTTTTAAAATTGAACCTAACTGATTCATGAAAGAACTTTTATTTATAAAGCACACATATTTTCTCATGTAACTTATTTCATATTTATTATTTATTTTCCATGTTTCTCAATTTGACTTGGCTTGTGCTTTATTGTAAAAATATGTAAATTTAATCAAAATTAATTCGAATATTTTTTATTAGTTTAAATATCAATTCTCTTAAAATCGAATCAAACTAATCCATAAATATCAAATTTAATTAAATATAAATTTTTCTCAAAACTAACTTAACCCACTCACCAAACAACTCTTATTTATAAAGCACATATATCCTTTCATATAACTAATTTCATATTATTTATTTTTCATGTTTCTCGATTACTTACGCTTTATTTCAAAAATATGTAAATTTAATCAAAATTAATCTAAATATTTTTTTATTAATTTAAATATCAATTCTCTTAAAATCGAACTAAACTAACCCATAAATATCAAATTCAATAAAATATAAATTTCTCTCAAAACTAACTTAACCGACCCACCAAACAACTCTTATTTATAAAAGCACGTATATTTTTTCATGTAATTAATTTCATACTATTTATTTTTTATATTTCTCGATTTGGTTCAACATATGATTTATTTCAAAAATATGTAAATTTAATTAAAATCAATCTAAATATTTTTTATCAGTTTAAATATTAAGTTCTCCCAAAATCAAATCAAACTAACCTATGAAACATTCTTAATTTTTTTCCCGCCGGCACCTAAAATTTCCTTATCTTTTGTGTTAAAGCTAAGCACAAAATGATGAATTATGCAATATAGTCATTTATGTGAGTTGGTTCTTTGACTTTATAAAACATGTTCTCCGACCTCATGAAGTATATATATTCTCTTGCTTGAGTTCGACATACAATGCTTTGATGTTGTTGACGTAAATTCTATATCAATAAACCACGAGCGGTGTTTCATGTGTTAGGATTGTGACATAATGTGATATGTATACGGTACTCCAAGAAATTTGTTCATTCTCATTTTACTTAATTTAACCTATTTTTCAAGATCTTTGTTTGATTCGACTTGTCTGTTTATTTGGGAATGTTCCACTAAGCGAATTTTATTTAAATAACGAGGTCCTTATATAAAGTTTGGAACTTTTCGACTGGTAAATTTAGATTTTGATGTTAATATGTTTATTTCTGATTTTGGTAAATAAAATTTTATCGTATCTGATTAGAATGGACCGTCACAGTTTACTTCGAGCAGAATTTGAGAGTGAAGTGGGATACCTGCAAGACACTCCGATGCCAAAATGAGATGCAGAATGAGCTAGCAAACAAGAGAGTAAGAAATGATCAATACTTGACCCTCTTGAAATAGAGGGTATTTATAGCCTCCAACGTTGGGTCAGTGTCTCCTCATAGGACTGGTCAAACAGGTCTAAAGTGGAGACTGTCAGGTTCTACGTGAGTAATAGGGACCCGCACGTGGTCCCCTACCTGGATGACTTTCTCCGCAAGATCAGGAGGATATGGATGCGGCCTTTCCGGGGCCACGAAGACTCCAAGATATTCGGAGACGTTGACAGTCAACCCTATGAGGAGGATGTTCGTGAGGCGCTTCTGCTCGTCGTGGATGCTCCCCGCCAGACGCGAGGGTGACCTCGAGGTACTCCTGACCAGTGATGATCTTCCTAAGACTGAATGGGTTTATCCTCGTGCGGCGAGGTTGCCTCCTCGCGGGAAGTGGGAGTTGCTGCCCGATGATCTCGAGGGCAGAACTGGTCAGTATACTTTGACCGGCATAATTGGATTGGGCCTCTCGTGGAGTTGGGCCAAGGGCAGGCCCAGTCCAGAACAGGAGCCCCCCAGTCGTTGCTCCTGATGAAGGACTTATGACTTAAGTCCAACTTTTTCTTTTACAAGGTGCGTTGCTCGACGAGGATATTTCATTATGTTGACGGAGAAAGTCGTCGGCTCATGGGTTTACCCGAGCAACATTCAGAATGGACTCGAGACGGGACCATTCTAGCCGCGGGGAGGGGAAACACTGCGGGGGTGTAGGCACGTGGCATGATATTTGGGATTACAATGATGGCCTAGGGAGTAAGGGTCATCATTTGCTGAGCGTGTAGGTGTCGGAGACCAGGCGTAGGTATAACCCTGTGCATCTCCAAAATCATGTGCAAGTATGATAAATCACAACCAATGGTACCAATCAACTCGTTGCAACCTCACGAGCATCATGGTACTATTGTTAATGGTTGTGATGCGGTGGGAGAACTGACTTGAGGTTTTGCGTTTGTGTTCGAAAATGTTTTGGTTTAGCAAGAGTCGCCACCGACTTTTTATTTTATCCAAAGGAAAGGTCAAAAAGCACAGGAAAGATCTTTGAGATGTTTTCTTGGGTTCGGGGGGTAGATTATGAAAAGGGAAGATGCTAGCACCCTTTTCATCCATGGTTAACCATGGGCTCTTAGTTACTTGTTTAGATCACTTGCTTTTGCTTTTCAATTGTTTGAAATGATGCTTTGTGTGTGGTTTTGAAAGATGTTTTGAAAAGAGGCCATCGTCGTGGCAACCTTTGTAATGATTCTTGTTTGAATGTATACAAAGGTGTATTGTCTTTTGAAAAGATGTTTCAATGTTTGATTGTTTGAAAGTTTGTTTTTGGGAAATGCTTTGAAATTGTGTTGTGAAGTGTATTTGAAAATAGCAAGGATGTTTTTGCAAGTTTTGATCAAGTAACTAAGAGTTGCCTACCCTATTTTACTCAAAGATCTTTCCTACACATTTTAACCCTTTTGACAGTGTTGTTTTACCATTGCATTTGGTAAACACCCTTGTATTTGGATGTTAAACGGGACAGGCGTGGGTCATCGTATGGACCATGATAGCAATTGTGCTAAGTATCTTTAGCAAATTTTTGAGGGACTAGATCATTTTGTATAGGCAACCAAGATAGCGTCATCGAGGGACTATGATCTTTTGTTTTGTTTTTGTTTTGCCAAGATACTCAAAATGCATAACATGACCATTTAAAAGGCAACAAGTGGATGAAACCCTAGGGGTGCATGTGTGCATTGTGTTGTCAATTTTCATGTTTTTTTGTCTTTGTATTAGTCAAGCTATTTGTTTGATTTTGGATTTTTGCATACAAACCCTAATCTCTAACATGACATATTTGAAAGCATAAAATGCGTAAAATAAAACCTAAGCTATTACAACATTGATATGGGGAGGGGGATACAATTTTGAATGGGGATTATTTGCAAGAAAATAAAACCCTAATATTTACTATTACATCCAAATTGAATAAATGGTACAAATAAGTAAATAGGCAAGTATTTAAATGGCCAATTAAATAAATATGCAAAATATTATGAATATGCAAAGAAAATATTTTTTTGTTTATTTTTATGTATGTAAAAATAAAATATTTAATGTATTGAAAAAAGAAAATAAAAAGTTATTATTTTTTTGTTAAGGGTAAAACCCTAACTTTTGGTTTTAAGAATATATATGAAAATTATAATATTTATTTATTTATGTACAATAAAATAAATAATAAAAAAAATATATTCAAATGTCCAAAAATAAAATATATTAGAAAAAATATTATTTTTTAATAAGGGTGGAAACCCTAGTTTTTTTTGTTTTAAGATAATATATATTATATTAATTATTTTATGTACAAAAAAAATAAATATAAATATATACAAAGATATAAAAACATGTGGAAAAATATTATTTTATATGCATAAATAATAAAATAAAAATATATAATATCTCTAAAATATTTATTTGTTTTTATTAAAGAAAAATAAAAGTATATACTAATTAATAATTATTTTCATGTTAGAAAAATAAAATAAAATATAAAAATGAATGTGAAAATTTATAAAAATAATTTTGGTATTTTTTTATGTTTAGAAAATATAAAATAAAATCAGAAATGAAAAATAAATACAAAAATACAAAAATATGAAGAAATGGGCCAGGGGGTGCAATCAGCAAGGCAGGGGGTGCAGAAAGTGAGCCAAGCCAAAGCCCAGCCCACTGAACTTCATCTTCAACCTTTGTCAAACAAAAACACGCGCGCTTGATTCAAATATGGAAAACCTGCATACGTGCTCTAATGCAAAAACTCATAACACCAAAGTTATAGCAATTTTCAAGACGATTTCAACCATATAAGAAACTTAATCTAACTCTCAAAGATCAGAGAGAATTTCTCTGGCCTTAATTTCTAACCTAACTTTTTCAGGAAGTTCATGAATCAAATTCTCTTAGCACATTTAACTTAAATGAAAACTGAGCATATGTACAGCTTAAGGGCTATGAGTACTACATTTTTTATTCACAAACCTAAACCTAATGATTCCTAAATAGAGAGATAGAAAGTTGACAAAAACCTGTTTCAGTTGAACTCGTGTATGGAAATGTGGAGCTTTTCAGTGAGACCTGAGGTGCTTGGGAGCTTGCCTGAACTTCCTCTGATCTTCCCCAATGTCTAGTTTGCTTTGGATGTGCTTGAACAAGCTTGTAGAAGTCAACATGCACAAGCTAAAAACAGAAATGGTGAAGCTTGCAAATGGAGTTACAGTCAATGGCCAATGGTTGGGATCGCTTGGATAGGTTATATGGAATGTGTTTGAACAGGT